CGACGAATGACACCATGTTCTAGTACGGAAGCTAGCTTTACATTTTTGTTGGTGGTTTCATGGGTTTCATATCAATTTTTTGTAATTGTAGTTTACACGTACATATACCTCTTAACACTTGTTTGCTTTATTAAAAAAGTGTGTTGTTGTGATTTACGTCGAAATAAGTCAAAAACAACTTGAAACCCCATATAAAATCAAAAAGGAGAAACGGAAAAAAATTGAGCCTGTAAATGAACACAACTCAGAAACAAAAATAGCTATCTAATAATAAAAAAATAAAATTTGATTCTTGTGCATCTTCTTTGTAAAAATAGATAATACTTTTTTGATCTTAGGTACAGATATAATTTTAATGGTCTTCCGAAAAACTTTCTTCAGTTTCCATATCAGATTCAAAATCAGTCTCACTGTCACTGTTTAAGTTAATTATAAATCTATCAGTTGCCTCATCCAAAGTAACTTCTCTGTCATAAAATTTAGATTTCCACATTTTAGCATTATTACAACGAGATTGTCACTCCTCTTTAGAAAACGTATCAAAAAAGTCTTCACACAACAGTTGTACGTCTTGCCTCTTAAATGTAGTGTTGTTACTAGCTACATATTGTTTCAATGATGCCCACACTAATTCGATCAGATTAAGATCGGGATGATACGGTGGCAAACGCAAACAACTAAAACCATGTTCATTTATCATTTCTTCAATTGCATACCTCTTAAATCGTGACTTATGCAATAGCACTAAACTGTATAATTGCGTTTTGAGCATATCCTCTTCGTAAGCAATATTATGATTCCTTAACCAATCCTGCATGTCGGCTTTTTTAGAAGTTGACGTTGGTGCTTTATTTACCTGGACATTATGGTAAGGAGCATTATCAACAATAATGACGCTTCTTGGAGGGAGGTTCGGAAACAGCTTTTCTTTCAACCATTTAGAAAAATTATTAAAATTCATTTCATCGTGGTAGTCTCCACTTTTGGTTCCAGATTTGAAAATTAACCGGGCATTCGGAATAAAGCCCATTTCACCTCCTGCATGGACAATAATTAGTCTATCACCTTTATTAATTGGTTTCTTTAATCCCTCATTTGAATTATCACTCCAAGCTTTCTGGTGTGTGTGGGAGGCATGAATGTATGTTTCATCTAAGTAGACAATTGGACGGCCCTCTGCTCGATAACTTTTTAAACGAATCAGATAGTCTAAACGTAGCTTTTGAATATCAAACCTTGCCATTAATATTTTTCTGTTTGTTTTTGTTTTCCGCCAACGAAATCCTAGCGACTTTATTATTTTTCTTAAACTTTCATAGCTTTCTTTGTACCCTGTAGCTTCTCTAAATTTAGTCAGAATTGTCTTTAATGTTGGAACAATATTTTCCGAGATTAACATGAACAGAATAATTCTTTTTAAAATACCTTTGTCAGCTTCATCTATATCATTAACTGTTTTTGGTTTTTTAATGGTTTTTCTTGGTGATGAAAATTCCGATATCTCACGGTTATCGATTCTTTTTTTCTCTCCAGAAATGCGGACGACAGTGTTTTTAGATACTCCTGTGGCTGCAGCAACACGATCATTTACATTTTTAAATGGTATTGAAGGTGAATTAAAGTTTCCTTCTCTTCTCATAAACTCTATAACATTGGCTATTATTTCGCGAGATTGACTGTTAATCACGCGGCCTCTTAATTTGCTATTAAACTCCATACTTAGGTTCTATTAAACTGTAATGAGCAAAAAACACAAACGAAAATAAAAGAAATGTTTTAGCGAAATTTACATCTGACATTTACGTCTGAATGAAATAGTGAAATACTTGATGCGCAGAGTGTACTTTCATTGCGTAAATCCGTCGGCCCCGCCAACCGATGCCTCTCAGTAGTGCTTTCTCTGTCTAGCCGTCGAAAGCCTCTAGAAATTTGATGAACTGTACAAATAGAAATCAAGCTAATACTTAGGTACATTTGCACTGCTAGTCGTTAACAAATAAGTGAAGCTTCCTTAATTTTTATTGGAAAACTGTCTTAAGCTTCAATTATTTCTTAATGCAAATAAAAGAAGCTTAAAATGACTAGGTAATTATTATAAAATTTATGTTGTATTAAAAAGTACTTAGTTACTTACGTGTTTTCTAATTCTGCATTTTCTTTTTCTGCAACAGAGGCTTGATGGTTCAGATCAAGAAAAGTGCAGGGTTCTTTACCTTTTAGATTCATCTTCTTCTGGGGCATCAGTAAATTCTGATAGCAATGCACCTAGAATTAATCTAATTCTTCCTCCGCATCCAGTCTTTGACATAAATATATATCCAGAAAAATGATTGGAACATAAAACATCACTATTTAAAATGTTTTCAGGGGTAAGTTTAATGTTTCACTAAATGCGTTTTATCGACAGGATTAGCTAAAAATCTACAAAAAACAAAAATTATTGATTTAACATCTTCAACATTATCATGATAAAATGACTTAAAAACAAAAAGCTTGTTTATATTGAAAAATTATTTTTTTTTAACTTTTCAGTAGAGTCCAAAATCAAAAACAATATTCCTCATACATATTACAAGTTCTTTAAATTTAATTCACTAAATTTACCATTTATTTTAAATTTATGTTTAACAGCCTCTTTCATAAAATGTAGGTAGTGTTTCTTTTAAAAAAATGATAGAGACGCTAATGGTTACTAACCTGTGAAATGCCCTTGATGATGCCTTTTCTTATTTCTATTTACAACTTACACAAACTCTTACCATTGTTAAAATTTGTATCAGTAAAGTAACAAAATACAAAAAATCACTTATAAACTACAAAAATAATCTAGAAATTAATGAAAATCAAAAATCAAATGACAGTTCTGTCAATTTTGAACGATTTGACATGCCTAGCAAAACGAAACAGACCAATGGGAATGCTAGACGCTATTTTTCCCCCCTGTACCAAAACAAAGTCCATTTGGAAGATTGCTCTAGTAAATATATGCTCGAATGGGTTAATACTAAAATGTTACGAAGCTTTGGCCAAAGTATCCATCAACAATGTGGTCACCTTAAGATGGATCAAAGGTCATGTCACTTCGAAAGGTAACCGTCTTGCTGATTCACTAGCCAAGAAAGCAGCAAACCAAATACTTTTTGGACCTGGCTCTTCTATGCGCTAGTTCAGTGTGATGTCATTTTGGTTCCACTGACATTTAATTCTAACCAAACTTTTAACAAAAACATCAATAAATTTGACATATACGTTCTTACTGTTTTTAGTTTATTTCTAAATATTGTTTACAGGTCATAAAAATAGTTGAAAGGTATGTAAATTGGTAACTAAACGATTGTATATTTGATGCTTGTTATCTACTTACTTTAGGAATATATTTATACAAGTGAAAAAACGATATAATTTAGGTAAACACAACGAACAAAACGCACTCAAAAAATCTACTGTCACTTTAATTGTCAATGGAACCATAATTACATCATCACTGTAGGGATGTCGAAAATGAAAAAAAATATCGATGTATCGATATTTATAAAAATATCAATATCAACGTCGATATATCGGGGAAAAAGTATCGATATATCGGTAAAAATTTTAAGATTTTGCCTTTTTAAAATAATAGTGTATTCAGCTCAATATTATTAATAGTAATTTTTATACAAAATGTACATTATTTTAATGTACAAAAATCTCAATAAAAATGAAGGTATTTTAATCAGTATTCCTTTTTATTAGACAATAATTATTACAAAAATATAAAAAACTAAAAATCTTCTAATAATTTTAAACTTATTTAGGGCCGATTCCACCATTGTGTTGAACGCAGAATAAAATAACATTGTTAATTTTCTTCTTTGCGTTCGTTCCTATCTTTTACGGTTTTGGACTCTAGTGACTTTAGTTATATAAATTAAAAAAATATATCGTTTTTGATACAATTTTCGATATTGGATATTTTGTATCGATATATCGGATCAAAATATATCGGCTAAAAATATCGATATATCAGATTAAAAATATCGATACATCGATACTTTTTCAACATGCCTACATCACTGAACCAGCGCATTGGCCTAACAAAATCGGTAGTAACAGACCTAATTAAAGAACATTTCCTTGTGAAATTCCAGGAAAGATGGGATGAAACAAGAAACTGCAGAGTTGCCAGGGAGCTCTTAAGTTATTCTGACAACACTGCAGCAAACAAATACTTGAGTACGACTAGACAGAATCTACATCTAGTCAAAGGCATTCCGACTGGTCATTGCCAAGTACGAACAAGAAGATGAAACCAACAAGCTTATCCTTTACGATTGCTCGTCGCTCTCATTTATTAGAAGATTTGTGTTCCTTGAATATCGGCTAACACCAGCCGATATAAGAGAAGCACCTCTTGGCGACATTGTCAACTACATTAAATCTGTAGGCTGGCTCACGAGCTAGGAGGTGCCTATCATCTTAGGAAGATGCACAATGAGCCTAATGAGGCCTAAGTGCCGTGGGGGTAACCCACCCTGAACACGTTACAGATACAGAAGCAACAAGGCCACAATCACAATATAAAGAACATTAGTAAAATTAGAAATGGAAAATCATAATTTTATCGAAGAGATATTAGACTGTTTTGCAGAACAAAAAAATCGTAGAATTCCACTTGTTTTTAAAACAATATAATGTTATTTGATTATTTATTTTAGAATATTTTTTTTTATTTTAAAGGTGCTTCATATTTGAAGTCAGAATTTATTGTTTGTTTTTGTTTATAGAATTTAAATTATGTTTATTTTTAACACCTTTTTTTCCTTTACACTCCTTTCCTTTACTCCCAATGCGTTTACTTCCTTCCTTTCCAGGCAAGAGTCCTCTACACCTCCACGTTGGTTCTTTTTGGATAGTTTAATAACCAAGTAGAGAATTTCCCAACATTTTATTTTTTTCAAAATAAAACTATTTTATAGCCTCATCATCTTGCGAGGTCACGAGCCATCACTGATACTCCCCTCCTTTGAAATAAAACTACAAAGTAAAGAAAAAAAAAATATTTTGTAAATATCTTAAGATGAACTTATAAATAATTTCATTTACAATCTAAATAAAAACAGGGATAAAAAGAACCAAATACAAAAAAATATCTTCACCAACGACTTTTTTTTTCACCCTCCGCCACTGGCATAATTTTTTTGCTGCTCAATATCGGAAAGAGAATATATTAAAAACAACCACCTCAAACAATTTAATTTAATAGCATTTCTTTTATTAAACAAGTTTTTTGTCATTCCATTTAAAATCTTAAATTTGGTATATATACATTTTTAATATTTCCATTAAATAAATTGTTCAAAGTCTTGTCAATTATGATATAAAAAAAATTAAAAATTTTGAGATTGATGGCCAAATTAAATTTAAATCTTTGGTATATAAATATATAAACAAAAACTACTAAATAATTAAGATAATTGACCCAAAATTGTATCTCAATATGACAGTTACGACTATTCATTTTTTGCATGCATCACCAATGTGTTTCAGTTTTTTTAACCATTTCTCAACGTTTCCCAACATTTATCATACGACTCATTTTTACATTCTTCATGGTTTTTCCAAATACAGCATTACAATCATATTATTATTTTAAACATCAGAATAGAAAATAATTTAACAACTTAAATACCCTCTTCCCGATATCAACAAACCCAAATTATACCAACAACGTTTGAACAGATTTCTTCCCGGGCCAGGCCTCCTTTGCGTACTTCTTCTTCTTCGGTTCCATCGACTCGCTCGATTGAACTTGCTGAGGCACGAACGGCGTGGGATTCGCGAACGATTGTCCCATATCGACCTCGGGCGCTGGATTTGGCAACACCATGCCCAATCGAGAATTCAACGAACTATAAATGCCCAAACTCGATGGATGCGACTCCGGTGGCAAATCATTGTACAAATCTTGGGCTACGGAGTGCTGGTGATGGGTTACTTTGGGCTGTCTAAATTCAGAGGGACTTATACCGATACTTTCGGCTATTTTCGCTCGTTTCGCCGACGTGGGGACGATGGTGGTTTGGATTAGGTTACGGAAGCGACCGATGCTCGGGTCTATGTCTTCTGGATTTATGACTTCTTCGTCTTCGTTGAAGGAGACGCAGTGTCGTTTGCGTTTGCGCGACGCTCGTTTATCTGAATCGTCCGTTATGCCCAACATCGATATTCGTCGATTGTGGGCCGTGTTAAATTCCGTTAAGTTCTGAAATAAATTAATAATTAATAACAATTAATTAATAACAGCACAATTCAATAATAACAAAGATATGCAGTCATATTTTATGAAAATTGGAGAAAAACATTAACAGTAAAAAGTATCGACTATTAAAAAATCTATTGTTATAAAGAATCGATTTTAAAAATCGATTATATAAAAATCGACAACAAAAAGAAATGATTGTAAAAAAGAATCAATTTGTAAAAATAGAAAGAAAACCAATTGTAAAAAAAGTATCGATTGTAAAAAATCAATTTGTAAAAAAGAAAAAGAGAATAAATTGTTAAAGAATCGATTGTAAATAAATCAGCCATTATTAAAAAGAATTGATTGTAAAAATCGACTATAAAACGAATTTATGAAGTATTGATAAACTAGTAAAAAAGGAAAGGAAAATCAATTGTTTAAAAATGGACAACAACAAAAAAGAAATTATTGTAAAAAAGAATTGAATGTAAAAAAGAAAAAGAGAATAAATTGTAAAAGAATCGATTGTAAAAGGTATCAATGATAAAAAAGAATCTATTATTAAAAAGAATCGACTATGAACATAATTGGTAAAGTATTTATTAATAGAAAAAAAAAATTGAGAATCAATTATATAAAAATCGACAGCAAAGAAGTTCGATTGTAAAGAATCCGACTGTAAAAAAAGTATTGCTGGAGAAACAACTGTAAAAATAGACTATGAAAAGAAATGATAATAATAAAGTATGTATTAATAGTAAAGAGAATCGATTGTCAAAAGTATCGATTGTTAAAAATAATCTATTGTTAAAAAGAATCGATTGTAAAAATCGACTATAAAAATAATTGGCAAAGTATTTATTAATAAAAAAAAAAGAAAATAAGAATCAATTATACAAAATCGACAGCAAAAAAGTATGATTGTAAAGAATCGACTGTAAAAAAATATCAATGGTGAAACAATTGTAAAAATCGACTATAAAAAGAATTGATAATTATAAAGTATTTATTAACCGTAAAAAGAATATTTTGAAAAGGTATCGATTGTTAAAAATAATCGATTATAAAAAAATTTGTAGTAAAGTATTAATCGTAAAAATTGTATAAAAATCGACAGCAAAAAAGAAATGATTGTAGAAAATAATGGATTTGTAAAAAAAGAAAGAATATATTGCAAAAAAGTATCGAAGGTAAAAAAAAACAATATAAAAAAATAATGATAAAGTATTTTCTAACAATAAAAAGAATCGATTGTAAAAACAAAAGGAGAATAAATTATAAAAGAATTGGTTGTAAAAAAGTATCCATGATAAAAAAGAATCAATTGTAAAAAAGTATTGACAGTAAAAAATGAACAATTGTAAAAAATCGACTATAAAAAGAATGGATAATGATAAAGTATTTGTTAATAGTAAAAAGAATCGATTGTAAATAGAATTGACTGTAAAAAGAAAAGGAGAATAAATTGTAAAAGAATCGATTATAAAAAAGTATCGATGGTAAAAAAGACTAAAAAAAATGGACAATGAAAAAGTATTTATAAACAGTAAAAAGAATCGATTGTAAAAAGGAGAATAAATTGTAAAAGAATCGATTGTAAAAAAGTATCTATGGTAAAAAAGAATCGATTGTAAAAAATGAACAATTGTAAAAAATCGACTATAAAAAGTATGGATAATGATAAAGTATTTGTTAATAATAAAAAGAATCGATTGTAAAAAGAAAAGGAGAATAAATTGTAAAAGAATCGATTGTAAAAAAGTATCCATGATAAAAAAGAATCGATTGTAAAAAAGTATTGATGGTAAAAAATGAACAATTGTAAAAAATCGACTATAAAAAGAATGGATAATGATACAGTATTTGTTATTAGTAAAAAAGAATCGATTGTAAACAGAATTGACTGTAAAAAGAAAAGGAGAATAAATTGTAAAAGAATCGATTATAAAAAAGTATCGATGGTAAAAAAGAATCGATTGTAAAAAAAGTATTGATGGAAAAAAATAAACAATTGTAAAAAAATCGACTATAAAAAGAATGGATAATGATAAAGTATTTGTTAATATGTAGTAAAAAGAAACGATTGTAAACAGAATTGACTGTAAAAAGAAAAGGAGAATAAATTGTAGAAAAATCGATTGTAAAAAAGTATCCACGGTAAAAAAGAATCGATTGTAAAAAAGTATTGATGGTAAAAAATAAACAATTGTAAAAAATCGACTATAAAAAGAATGGATAATGATAAAGTACTTATCAATAATAACAAGAATCGATTGTAAAAAAGTATCGATTGTAAAAATCTACTATAAAAAGAATTGGTAAAGTATTTATTAATAGTAAAAAAAAAGAATCAATTCTATAAAAATCGACAGCAAAAAAGGTATTATCAAAAAGAATCGTTTTTTTTTTAAACTAGTAAAAAATGGTAACAGTTTTATAATTTTTGAAATCGTGCTTCAAAAAGTCTTCATGACACCCCTACGATATCATCTGAAAAAAAATTGTCTTCCAATTTAACCCCACAAAATTGACAAGTGATTTCATAAATGTTCTCCTGTGCTAATTTTAGGCATGGAACAATAAAAATCTTTTATTATTGACTTAAAATCCAAATCAGCCTCAACTTAAAAAGGGACATCATCACCAATATACTGAATATTTTATCCATTTTACCTACATACTTATTTAATTCATCATAATATCAGATTTTGAAAAAAGCACAAAATATTAAGTTACCTTTAAAGAATATGTTTAATATTAGATCTTCAAATGTTACTGATAACTGAATTCAACAATAATGGGGTTAAATTACAACCTTATGGAGCACCAAATTGTAGCTTTAAAAATGTATGACCTCAATTTAAGTTTATTTTGTATAATATTTAAGCCATTTGAAAAAAAAAAATGGGAAACAAAAAAGTATTATCCAGTTTTTTAAATAATTAAATATGTTTACACAATATTCTAAATACTTAATGTATTTATATAAAACAAAATTGTATTATTTAGTTCAAATACTATAATTACAACAATTACAACAACCTAAAAAAAAAAATTATAATCATTTAACACATTTCTCGGTCATATTCACTGAGACGGCAGTTAACGTGTTAATCAAAGTTGGATAATTTTTAGAGAAATACTATCATTACCAACTGCATTTTTGATTTGATTTATTTCTTCAACAGTAGTTAACATTTTTGATCTATACATTTCTATATTTAAATTATTAAATTTTAAGATTTTAAGGATATTTATTATTTATCTTTTTCAAACTATATCTTTTAAATTTTTTGATATATTGTAAATTAGTGTATAAAAATACTTACATCCAATTCAGTTTCGGTCTCAGGCAATCCCAATAATCCACCGTCAGAATCATCTCCAGCTTTTTCAATTTCATCTATGATTGGCCTGATCCCAGTCTGAGGTCTCTCTCTAATAATGTAATTTCTAGTTGAAGCACCGAAATGAAAACCAGAATCGATAGGCAATTGAGTGGGTTTGTAACCTTCCAAACGTAAGGTTCCTATGAAAGTACCATGTGCTAAAAAAACAACCAAGTTTCAGACTTTTCTCAATGGGTTTTTGTGTTGAACTATAAGGCAATCTTCTATTTTTATAATGACACTATTATTCATTTAAATTATAGATGTTTAATTGAAATAACTACAATTATTATTTTAAAAAATGTAGAGGTAATCTTAGAACAATTACCAACTGGTTTTTGGAATAATAATCATGATAATGTGCTAAAAAAACGACCAAGTTTGAGATTTTTCTCAATGGGTTTTTGTGTTGAACTAAAATGCAATCTTCTATTTTTATAATAACACTATTATTCATTTCAATTATAGATGTTTAATTGAAATAACTACAATTATTATTTTAACAAATGTAGAGGTAATCTTAGAACAATTACCAACTGATTGTTGGAATAAAAATCATGATAATGTGTTAAAAAATGACCAAGTTTAAGACTTTTCTCAATGGGTTTTTGTGTTGAACTATAAGGCAATCTTCTATTTTTATAATGACACTATTATTCATTTAAATTATAGATGTTTAATTGAAATAACTACAATTATTATTTTAAAAAATGTAGAGGTAATCTTAGAACAATTACCAACTGGTTTTTGGAATAAAAATCATGATAATGTGCTAAAAAAACGACCAAGTTTGAGACTTTTCTCAATGGGTTTTTGTGTTGAACTATAAGGCAATCTTCTATTTTTATAATGACACTATTATTCATTTCAATTATAAATGTTTAATTGAAATAAGTACAATTATTATTTTAACAAATGTAGAGATAATCTTAGAACAATTACCAACTGGTTTTTGGAATAAAAATCATGATAATTTCCATAAACTTAAAAATTTTAATATAAAAATTCAAGTAAAAACACCACTTGAAAAACTAGTACCTTAGTATTATATTTGCATTACCTGTGATGTTATTTATAGGAATATCTAAGATCATGATGTAGTTTTATGTGTATAATTTGAGTATAACTCGAGAAAAAGTGCACAAAAGAATATTTATGAGTACAACAATAATAAATTCCAGCAATTGAAATTTACAGTTGACTGGATTTCTATTTTAACTAATACAGTCCCCATACAGAGATTTGTCAGTAAACATAAGGGCTGTATCATCAGCATCTCAAACTAATGTTCCTTGAAATTTTTTATATGTTAAATATGTTATTTACATACAGTATTGGCGATCAAATGCTTTTCCAATCCCTTTGCACAAAAGCATGTGAAAACTACAGAGAGAACTATCTGTAGTTTTCACATGGACTTTTGCAAAGGGTAATTATTGGAAAATTTCAGTAGCCAACACTGCATATTATAAATAAAACGATCAATACGATCTCCTGGGGTACACCTATCTTAACCAATGATTCACAGCTTAGTATCCTTCCTATTTTTATTCTTTGTTTTCTGTTTGATAGATGTTTGAAGAGGTCTAATACTACTCTTCAAATACCGTAATTACTACTTTTATCTATAAGTTTACGTTTATTATGTGAAATAAAGCCCCTTGATTTGAATCTAAATTTACGACCACTAATTTGAACGAATTTTAATATAAAATGAATGTATTAAAAGTAATAATAGTACTTACTGCTTCCAAGATCAACTAAAAAGGCCCTATTCAAGTGTTTGTGCCATACGAAGGCAGCATGTACCCTAGAACAAGAAGCATGATCAATACAAAAATCGTTCATTTGAGAGTTTCGCCCGAAAAGGTAGCATTTTTTCTCATCGATCATTAGTTTCTGTATTAGCTTATCGCCTTTTAAAACGTCTAAATGGAGACCAACTGGAGGTTTCCCAGCCCTGAAAGTAACATCGAATAGAAAATCAAACATAACCTCAAACAACAACATAAATGTAATTTTATTAGAATGAAATTGGTAGGTATTTTTTATTACCAGTTGGGCACTTCATAGTGATTAGCCATGTGGTTTTTTAAAACCTTATTATTATTATTATTCACTCTTCCAAATATATTGAAAAATAAAACGTCGCCATTTTCCTGTATCGTTTTGACATATTTGACAATGACAGTTGTCAAAAGTCAAAACGTATATCAAAGACCTCTAACTAGACTAGAAATTCGTATCTAATTGATTTTGTTGTATTGAACCAAATATAACTTCATTTTGGTTTTTTGGTGCAGTTTCTTTAGAGGTATTTATTTGCAAACGGATTGTCTGCCGCAAGCATCTGTCATTACCATGGAGGTATTAACCCAACATTACCGACTGAAAGTGATGCATCTACATAAACAAATCTAAGGAATCATGAGTGGTGTAATAAGGGTGGTATACTTTTACAGATTCATCTAATTTTAGAGACAAAAGTAAAAATTCTAATGGAACTTGAGTAGATAAAGTTTTTCCAAAGATTTTCGCTTTTTATTGGTATATCAGTATGATTGCAATAATTTAAATTTAATATAAATTTTTTTTTATAAGGTCTTGTATAGTTTATTCGTTAGAAAGTTTTTCCTACTTTTCAAATAATCAATCCTTTGAGACCTACCATCAAACAAACAGCATCTGCAGGCGTCAAAGAAGTATGCGTGGAAATAAATTCATTAAAAAGGTGTATATAGGGTGAAATTATAGAAATTGAACGTCTACAACTTTACAAATCTGAAATATGGCGAAGTAAGATGTGTAACCATACATGTATAAATTTTGTATATCGAATATCGAACATTTTATATTGAACAAAATAAACATATGTCAATTCAGCTGGATAATTCATCGAATAATAACAAAATTTTAAATATGTGGGAATTATAAGCAACCAGTTTTCCTTGTCAACTATAACATCTAAGTATAACAGGTCTATGTTAGTAAAATTGAAATTCGTTGAAAAATATCAAATTCAATATTTATTAGTTTTTAGTTGCCGATGCCAAAGACACCAATGAAAAAAAAAAAAAAAATTATAGTTTTGTATGTAATATAAAAAACATTTTATTTTTGTGTACCTATTTTACTTTAGTTTTCTAAAAATGTACTAACGTTACTATTTCGAGAATCTAAATTAATTATAATTATACTATCAGTCCCGGTAAATATAAAATTAATATTTCGATCAATTTGTAAAATATATAATTAAATAAAAAAAAAAAAAATAGAAACCGACGAGGATGGGATTCGAACCCACGCGGGCAGAGCCCATTGGATTAGCAGTCCAACGCCTTAACCACTCGGCCACCTCGTCATGTCTATAACTTTTTCCACAGCTCGTACAGTTTGTACGAGTATCAAATATTTATCTAAAGAATTTAATCTTTTAAAAAAATATTTATACATTTATAGTTAAAGTAAAATAATGTATTTTTATTGTTTACACAACATTTTTGTGTTGGTATCTAAACCTTTTACGGATACTGGGTCCTATGATTGAACGTTTACGTTATCCGTAACGTACATGTTAGGCCGAGTTTTAACAGCAAAGAGACAAATTCGTATGATGTAAAGTCTTTCATAACACATTACTGTTATTTTCCGCCTCTTATGTTCTAATTTAACAGGTTTCCATCATACGAACTTGCCTCGTTACTTTTAAAATTCGGCCTAACATGTACGTTACGGATAACGTAAACGTTCAATCATAGGACCCAATACCTATTAACATTTAAATGTTTTGGATTCAAATCTGATTAATTATGTAGGTACCTACAAAAGTTTACTAACTTGTTTGTAGATCAAACATTCATGTAAACGGATATATCTCACACGTACACAGGGTCAATTTAAAAAATTTCTTATTGGCAATATTTCTTAACAAAAAATAATGGCAAAAAATTGCTTAAACAGGTAAATTTGTATTTCTAGTTCAAGCTAAGCGATACGCCCTCTGGAGGAAATTTGTAAAAGGTGTCTATAAGTAGGACTATTTGCAGTGTTGCCAGCAGTAGCGGAAATTCCGCTACTTCAGTGGATTTTTAGTCTTTCAAAAGACCTTTTTTCAAGTAGCGATATTTGTGTCCATTAATATGTAATCATAGAATGGTTTAGTTAGTAAGCCGGCTCCCATGCACTATTAATCTGCCACTTGAGTATTTTTTTATAAGTTGAGTTTATCACCAATATGAATCAGAGGTTCCTTTTTTATCGGTATATGTTAATTAATTTTAAATGAAATAAATCGGATTTTAATATAGAATCGACTTTAATCGGTGTTAAGAATAATAATACATAAAATGAAACATATCGAATTAATGTCTATGCAAGAATGCCGTGCTTATCACCAAATATTCTTATGCGACCCAGTCCGACGTATCGTTCTACGAAATATGAGTAGAACAGAAGGCTTTTGCCAGTTCTCCCACTTTATACACATAAATTGACAGGTTTGCCGCGGATCTCACCGAAGTGGACGCGATATGTATCTCTTCAGAGGTGAGTGACACCTAATTCGCCCACACGACAACAAGGTGTCACAAAAAAATATATAAGAAATTTATATTCAATTATTAGATACTGTAACAACCTACTACTACGATAACCCGATATACACATGTGTATATAAAGTTGCCTATCCGATCGATAATGCGATCGAAAGAGCAGTTTTGCCGCGGTTTTTAAGGCTCAAGTGGCTTGCCGAAAAAGCAGTAAGTACCATATTTTGAGTTTTTGCCTTTTATATTCAATGATTTAACTTCTTTTCTTTGTCAAATGTGATTTTCTTTGTTAGTTAATTTGTTAAATGTGTAATAAACTAATGTCACTAAGTGTAAACGGTTTTAATACTTTCCAAAAATAAAAAGGGTTTGTTACTTTTTCCATAAAGATTAAGTAAAACTTTTTAATCTTCTATTAGTGTGCACTAACCTAATTAAAGCAACAAATATTATTAAAACACATTTGTAAGTTAAAAAATTAAGAATATGCATTTATTCACGACATTCTCACGTAACCATATTGTTTTTTAATTTTTTCGATTTGACAGTCACACTAAGAGCGCCTGTGCGTGATTTTAGCGATGTTGCCAATTGCTTTTTGTTATTCTAAATAAATATATTCATGTTAATGCCGTTCTGTATTATTTTTTGTTTATGAATAATATGACAACTGGCATTTTTATTTCTATAAATGTGGTGTTGTCAAACATAGTAAAAGAATGTACATAACAGGAATGACAATGGCTGTTTTTTCAATAGCTCCAGGCCAGATGATAAAACCAGAATATAAATGTGTTTATTTGAGACTTTTCATTTCAATTATTCAATTTGAGCTGTGTCCAGGCCGTTGGAGTCTATGCCAGTCGGCGTAGCCAGGTATGGGTTGATGTTTTTGGTGGCGGCGAAGCCGCCACTCTACGACTTATCAAAGGGTGCCGTCACCCTGCGATAATTAAGTCGTTGCTTCGTTTTCAGGTCTGTTCTGGTTTTGAGAAATAACGATCCACAACTGTCGGGCTCATGCGCAGTAGATAAAAAGTGTTTTGGTTTTTCTGGGACTACTTCGGATCTCTCAGTCCAGTACGTGTTCTGGTTTCGTATCCGAAATAATCCGTGATTGTTGTAAATAGTCAAAATGTGTTCATATAAGGTTTGTTCTGGTTCTCAAAATGAAAACTGTTTTGAAACTGCGCCGGACCGTATGCGTAAAGGCAAAAAATCCCCGACTGTCTGAAATTCTTGGAAAACCAGAACACGTCATAAAGGTGTTTTGTTTATTGTTTATTATAATAATGAAGTTCCTTTTGAAAGCTCAGCTTCAAATAACATTTGCATGTATATGTTTATCATTATCATCACATTTCAATGGAATAAATAAAAACAGAATATTAAAAAATTAATAATTCTAAAATTGCTTTAATTTACAAATAAAACAAGAACAAGAGACATTCGTCCACATATAAATAAACAATTTGGGATTGTATACGTTTCGTATAGTCTAAAAAGCCAATGCAATATTCATAACACTTCAAAAACGCATGCGCGGTCAAAACAGTCCGAGTCGATCCACACTCCCAAGCATGAACACTTTTTGACTGTTTACAACAATCACGGATTATTTCGGATACGAAACCAGAACACTGGACTGAGAGATCCGAAGTAGTTCCAGAAAAACCAGAACACTTTTTATCTACTGCGCATGAGCCCGACAGTTGTGGATCGTTATTTCTCAAAACCAGAACAGACCTACAGAGAAAGTAAAAGTTGAAAAGTCTTTTGGTAGGTAGAGAGGGGGTAAACGTCAAACCACGTCGGGCGGCTCCGAGAATTTCACAGTAATGTTTACCTGCCAGTGTCGTTTCATAGAATAAGTAATTTTAAATTGTTATCAGCGGAACCGGACAATCGCATGTATTTATGGATTATAAATAATTATTAAACATGTATTATTATTCAAATTATAATTTTACAAAATTTCAACAGCTATTCACAATTTATTAAACTATTTACTCGAAATTGTTATTAACATCTATAAAATAATTTTGTACGCCAATGTATCGCGTCCACTTCGGTGAAATCCGCTGCCAACCTGTCAATTTATGTGTATAAAGTGGGAGAACTGGCAAAAGCATTTCCAACTTTTACTTCTGTTCTACTTGGGAGTGTGGATCGACTCGGACTGTTTTGACCGCGCATGCGTTTTTTAAGTGTTATGAATATTGTATTGGCTTTTTAGACCATACGTATGCAATCCCAAATTGTTTATTTATATGTGGACGAATGTCTCTTGTTATGGTTTATTTGTAAATTAAAGCAATTTAAGAATTATTAATGTTTTAATATTATTCTGTTTTTATTTATTCCATTGAAATGTGATGATAATGATAAACATATACATGCAAATGTTATTTGAAACTGAGCTTTCAAAAGGAACTTTATTATTATAATAAACAATAAACAAAACACCTTTATGTGTTCTGGTTTTCCAACAATTTCAAACAGTCGGGGATTTTTTGCCTTTACGCACACGGTCCGGCGCAGTTTCAAAACAGTTTTCATTTTGAGAACTAGAACAAACCTTTTTCTTGTTACATATTTATGGACCGGTATGCGCAATCACAATTT